TTTGTGACCAGCTATGCAATTAGAAACGTGGAGTTTTTATAATCTTGCACCCAGTTGCTACAGAGTATTATAGTTTTGTTCACCTAAAGGTTGTACGTATCACCTAAAACTAAACGAGGTAGATATAGGGATATGTATATATACATAAACGATCGGGATGACGAGAAAAGTTGAAATCCGGTTGACTGTCTGTCTGTCCATCCGTCCGTTCGTGCAAGCTATTTACTTTTAGTAAATTGAGATATCTCCATGGAACTTGGTATTTGGTTTCCTAGTAAAAAAAAAAAAAAAATCGAGTACGTAGATGCCACATCCACAAATCGCCATTAACCGAAAACATATGTATAAAGTAAGAAACCCGCTCACTTCCCATGTAATGGTTATGTTAAAAAGTACGAAAATCGCGATAAATCTATAACCAAATACGCCAGACACATTAAATATTACCACTGAGATGGTATGAGAGAGCCGTATGGGAGCCAGTGTGAAAATTGGGCAATGGGCGTGGCACCGCCCAGTTTTTAGTGAAATCCCATATCTCGGGACCCGAAAAATCGGTTTGGGCAAAAGTTAGTACGTGGCATTCTTATGTCAAATTATGAAAATTTACAAAATCGGACAACGATGACGAACTTTATGACGAAATATTGGTCAAATGCAATCGGATTGAAAGTCATATGTAAGGCTTTCTCCAAACATTACCCTAAACTTCAGGAATCTGTTATGGTTTGAGGAGCCTTTTCCTGTCTCGGTGTTGACTCAATTATGCGTGTTCAAAAGATAATTGACCAAGACGATATTTAAAGAATTCTGGAGAATGTAATGGAACCATATTGCTTTTATCACCTCAAGGATAGTGAAGAGCTGGTTTTTGGATAAAAATACTGATGAACTGATGAACAGAGCTGTCGTCCAACAAGTATCACAAAATATTTCCCCGATAGCCCAGGAAAGTTTTTTACTATTTCTTCTGAATATATCTTGAAATATCAGAGCTTTCCCATGCAACGTGATTTGGTCTTAATAAGATCTTTTAAAAGTAGATAAAGTGTAGTTTAAACAATTTTTTTTTTTGTGAATATTATTTCATTGACTTGCAACTAGAATTGGATCACTTATTTGTATAGCCTCAAGATAATATTATGTTTGGAATTTTACCGTTGTCAAGACATCAGTTTTGTACCTACAGTCCACAGTAGTACCAATAGAATTACACAACATTAATTGATAGCATTTATCGTCGCTCTGAATTGTAGACGTATATTTGCAAAATATATGAATGAATCGACAGCCATTGCAATGCGTAGCGATTTTCCTTCCCATGAAAGTGAAGAGATCTCATTCCCTGGAACCTTTAAGGTGCGTATCAAATGTCCGAATGGGGAGTAAAAATTTACTTGATTCGATTCTTTCGAAGTATTGAAATCTATAAGAATTCCACAAACAGAAAGCACAGAACCATCTTGATTCCACTCAGCAGCTATATTTCGCATACTTGTATCGATGATAACTGGGGCTAAATTAATAAAAACACATAGGCATAAGTATATATTTCAAATTTTGATTGCTCACGTGTAATTTACACAAAATTACATACCGTCATCGCTTTCATTTCGCATAATTTGCAATTTGCACGTCTCAAAACAAATAGCTAAAACTGGTCGGTTGGATGGTGCCC